AAAAACGGCAGGAATGTTCCAGAACATGCTCGCACCTCCATCGTTTTGCTCTCGCTGTTCCCCTACAATGAGTGCCCCTCGTTTCTGCCTCTTGACATCCTAATGGTCCTTTAAGCTTCAACAGTCACCACACTCCTCACGGCTGCCACCCCTCCCCTGGGGAGCCGGCTCTCCCGTCACATGCCTTTGATGGAGGCAGCGATCAGGGGACACGTTGCAAGCTCCCTGGAGGCGCAGGCTGGGCCTCATTCATCTCTGCAACCCCCACAGGACCCAGCAAGTTCACGTGCAGCCCAACGTTAGTGGAACCGAAAGTGGGCCCTGGGCCTCAGCTGGGATGGAGTCTCTGCAGGCCCTGCAGCCTGAGGCGGGTGCAGGGGTGCTGGGCTGGGCGACTTCAGTGACTGGGACTCTCTACCCTCCTCCTCGCCCGGCCCCTCCCCCTCCCCCAGCCCCTCCAGGAGCAGGAAACACTGTGTACTCGGGGCTCTCTTCCATCAGACTCGGGCCCCTGAGGACCCTAGCCCCACCCAGTCCGTCCCTGGGTCCCTCCAAAGAGGCCAGAGGCCCAAGTGGTCTGCAGGAAAGGGTCAGAGGGGCCGTGGGAGGGGCCAGCACCCCAGCTCCTGGTCTCTGGCCTGCCCCCCGCCCTGCCTCCCCAGTCCCCTGTGCTTGCTCTGGTTCTAAACCATGGCACTGCCCCTTGGTCTGGGCGGTTTGGAGTATGGACGGGGCGTGAGCTCATGCTGCAGGCTGAGCCTCCCTCACTGCTGCAGAATGGGACAGCGCTGAGGGTGGGGATGAGGGAGCTTAACTCTTTTCTGGGGGAAGAGGCCAGGCTGGGACGGGGTCAGGTGCTAGGAGCCTTCAGCCCTCGCCCGGCTGCCCGGGCAGAAACCCTATGTGTCCTGGAGCAGAAGGGCGGTTCCAGGGTCGGACAGACGGGCAGGGGGACAGCCTCGGGAACCCAGGGTGGCACAGGGAGGCCTGGGAGGGTGAAATGGTTAATGGCTTGTTGAAAAACAAGGAGAGTCCCTCCTCCAGGGGCCCAGCTGGCTGCAAAGCCAGGAACAGAGGCTCCAGGGGTGATGCAACGGGACCCGCCCTGCGCACCAGAGAGGGTGAGGAGGCGGCTCCGCCCAGCAGCCGCTGCACAGCCAGCAGCGGACCGCTCGCCTCCAGCCCCCACGCCAGATGCAGGGCAGGGACTTGGGGGCAAAGTGGGCAAAACTGGCCACCCCAGACTCGGGAAGTTGCCGCTTCTGCCTGTCCCACCCCATGTGGCCCTGGTGGCTTTGCAGTCCACAGGGTGCCTCATCAGCGCAGCCAACCCCCACCTCTCCACTGCCAGGACCCGTTCCAGCGCGGGCAGGTGGCAGGCAGGGGTGGAGAGGCCGGGCCTGTGAGAGGCACCTGGCACCTCCACTCTCCATTGTCTTGGCACAGGGTACCTGCTGGGATCACAGTGTCCCAGACACTTGCAAAGGACTCAGGGCCGTCCCAAGGGTGGGCAGGCTGATCCGAACTCGAGATGGGTGGTGTCCCCGCCTCGGGGCCTGGCACAGTCTCAGGGCCCAGGAGAGGGTGCCATGTATTTCCGAGCAGGACTTTGCTGGGTGGCGGCCCGGGAGGGAAGAGGGAGAGCCCCTCTCTGAGAAGGCGTGAGGGGGCCCAGGTTTTGTGACAAAGTCCTGCCCCCGACTCGAAGCCGCACGAGGACAGGAGCGGCGTCTCTCTTGTTGACCGCAGGCTCCCTGGCGCCCAGCACGGCTCCTGGCAAGAAGCCTGCGCTGGATAAGTAACTGACCGCAGAGAGCGGGCGGGCTGAAGTCCAAGTCGGTTTTACAATTCCTGCAGTCCGCTGCTGGCCAGCCCCTCAACCCGCACACCCACTCACTCGCCCACACACTCACAGGCACAGAAAAACACACAATGGAGCACCGAGTCATCAGAAGATGATTGCCTTGAATGGTTGTTTACAGTTACTGGAAGCTTCTCAGCCTTCGCTTGCTCGGGCTGCGGCGGGTACATCGGGATTTCTGGTGCAAACCAGCAAAAAGCATGCGGGACGCTCGAGGGGCTGCTGGGCACGAAGTCACCAGACGGGGCTAGGCCGGGGCCAGCTCATGCGAGGTGGGCAATTGCAGCCTCCTTTCCAAGGCAGGACAATCCCAGGTGAGCTAGCTCCACATCGGCACGGACAACCCCCTGCCTCCCTCCCTCCCTCCCGCCCCCAGCGGGGCTCAGCTTCCTGTCCAGGGAAGCAGGGCGCAGAGGGGACTCCACATTTGCAGGTCACCCCTCTCCCCTCCAGATTCTTTCACATCTTAGGAACCGACGTGCGCACAACACCTGCGACTGGTGCACAGCTCCTTTCTGCTCATGATCGTGTTGGATGGACCATCACCAGCCCCAGAGGGAAAGCCGTCGCCCTGTTCTGCAGGGGAAAGCACAGGACCAGAGGGGTCCCGGCTTCCAGCGCCAAGATGGTAGCAGAGTCAGGACTCAGATGCCCGGCTTCCCCCGCAGCATGCGGCCTCCCCGGCCTCCCCGTGAGTCAGCTGTTCTGGGCCCTGCACCTCCGGTCCCCTCACAGCCACCAAGTGCCTTCTCCGGGACCCTGAGTACAGCCAGGACGAGTGGCCCCCGGTGCACATGTTGCTGCTTCTCTCGGCCAGGACCTGCGCTCTACGACACACACTCTGTTCACCTCGCACTAAGTTGGAAACAACCAAAGGAAACGGTTAAGCAAACTCCTACGGCCACGCGAGCGAACACGCGGGACCTGCTGACGGCTGGCAGGTAAGGGACCTCGCTCGGTGTGGGATGCTGTGTTTTGAAATATTGTGATTTGATTAAAGCAGAACATGAACCACACGCTCATCCCAGGTGTGCCAAAGTGCGCGCCCAAAAGCTGGCGAGGGCCAGACGTGTGCTGAGAGACGTAAAGAGATTTTTATCTACGTGGGGCTTTCTTTTCCTATAAAGATTAAGCTCAAAACAGTCAGAAGCAGCAAAATAAATACATGTGATCATAATAAGCAGAAGAGGAGGAGTCTGGCTCCGTCCCCAGAGGACCACCCATCTTCTGGAAAGGGCTGGAGTTGCAGGGTGCAGACAGGAGGGGCGGGAGCCTGGAAGTGGAGAGTCGGGGAGCTGTGGGAAGGAGGAGGCAGGCCCACCCAGGGGAGCAGCGCCCAGAGCCGCAGAGGTGCAGCTGGGAGCATTGCCCGGGGAGCCCCTGGGGGCCTGGGGGCCAGACGAGCAATGTGGATGGTGCCTGCCGGAGCTGTGCATCGCGGTGGTTCTAGGACACCTTGCCTCTCAGAGGACCAACGCGGGACCCGCCTACAGGAGGGGGCGGCCTGCAGAGAGAGCACCGCCTTGTTCTGGGGATGCCAGCCTGCAGGGAGCAGGTGGGTGTGAAAGGCGCCAACCGAGGCTCCCCTGGGACCCAGGGACAGTGCACTTCACAGACAGACCACACTCAAGGTGTCTCCGCTGACTCCTTATCTCCGCGGCCCTCCACCCTGCCCTGTTCCCCTCCCGTGCTCCCCGTCCTGGTGGCTGGCACCACCACTCACCACGGCTTCCCAGGCTGCGGGCCCTGGCCCTGGCCCTGCCTCCGGCTCTCGCTCCGCCCTGCTTCGCACCCTGTGCCGCACCCGCACTGAGATATTCACAGTTCCTGGAAGATGCCAAGCTGTGTTGCTGCCCTGCCTTTTCCCATGCTCTTCCTTCCGCCCAGAATCCGTCTCTACCTTGTCTGGCTGCTTATCTGTCAAGAGTCAGCTTAAGCAGCGTCACCCTCCGTGAACCCTTTCTGCTCATCCCTTCCTCCCCACCCACCCCACCCCGCTCACCCCGCCTGCCCTCTGTGCCCAGGCAGACAGACAGCACCACCTCACCGGTCTCCGCAGCCCCATATCCAGCACTGCTCCTGCACAGCCTCAGCATTTGATACATATTCTATGAAGTAAACAAACAAACAAACAAACAAACAACAACAAAACGGATGTGGCCCAGCCGGCAGGGCTCAGTGATTTAGCATCGACCTATGAACCAGGAGGTCAAGGTCCGATTCCTGGTCAGGGCGCATGCCTGGGTTGCGTGTTCCATCCCCAGTGTGGGGCATGCAGCAGATCAATGATTCTCATCATTGATGGTTCTCTCTCTCCCTCTCCCTTCCTCTCTGAATCAATAATCCTATATAATAAAAGCCTAATATGCTAAGTGTCTGTTGGCAGGTCAGCCATTCAACCAATCAAAGTATACTATGCCAATGATGTGCTAAGGCCACTCAACTGCTCACTATGATGTGCACTGACCACCAGGGGGCAGACAGTCAACCGATAAGTTAGCTTGCTGCTGGGATCCGGCTGATCAGGACTGAGCGAGATGGGCTGGACACACCCAAGAGCCCTCCGTGGTCCCTCCCGCGGTCTCTCCCCGGCTGGCCAACCTCCCGTGTCCCTCCCCTGCCCCAATTGTGCACCCATGGGGTCCCTTGGCCTGGCCTGTGCCCTCTCACAATCCGGGCTGAGGGGACCCCCCCCCCCAGTGCACAAATTTTGTGCACTGGGCCTCTGGAAATAATAATAAGAAAAATATTACGAAGGGCACTTTTGGGGGAGACAAAAGAGTGAATTTGATTAAGGAAACCAAGCCCACGCGTGCTGCTACATTTCTGGTGACATTTCCCAAGTCACCTCTACCCTCAGGCTACTCCTTCCTAGAGTAGGGTCCCCTCTGGTCTCGAAGGCCTGCAGAGCGCCCCCCGCCACACACACACACACACACACACACACACACCCCACAGGCCCACCGACCCTCCCGGGCCCCTGGCCTCTGATCCGTGTGCAGCCCCTTTGCCCGGCTGCGCGGGGTTGTCCAGGAGTCACCACCGT